GAAATTCACTAACAAACTTTTTAAGCGTAAATGTTATTGATGTTGGTGCTTTTTGTGTTGAGGTGTCAGTTTGCATTTTAAAACATCATTCTTGCCAGTTCAATGTCAATTCTTGAATAGCACACAAAACTATCTGATGAACATGCGAAATTGTCGTATACTGCAAATGTTCGATGGAAGTACTATTGAATAGACCAATAAAGCATGAAACCACTAACGATTTTGCCGAAAAAAATAACATTCTTCAACAATCGAGAAATCAATCGCCAAACAATTATCACGAGGTTCTCTTCCAATAATTAACAGTATTATGGCACTGCTCAATTCTCATTCAAAATTGATTGCTTATCACTTCGTGTTCATCAAGTATAAGTTGCAAATGGTCTTATTCACGACTATCTTACAAATGCTCCTTTGCTCTGGTGTCTATGTCTTATCATACACCGAATTTTATTCGTGATTTTCTTGATAATTTATTTTTCTTGAAATGTCTATATCATGTCATACTTTCAATCACATATTAATCCTTATCATTGCTAGTCTCCGGCTTTCCCTGTTCTCCATTCTTTTTCCTTCCTCGTAATGCACTAGATTCATGAGGAGTGCAATTTGGAGATGGACAAGGAAGTGCGAAACGCGTGTGGTTAGATTGAGGGACGAACGCAGTTGCTGATTGAGAAAACTCAGGAGGATGATGGAACTCAATAAGGACTGGTTCTTTTTGAGGGATGTATGCTGTGCTTCGATTAGGGAAATAATCTGAACTGCATGTTGGCGTTTGATCCGTCGTGCAATTACACTTATGACATTCGTGTGCATCAAAACATTACATAAAATTATCAGTGAATGACTCTTGTTGCTGTTGCTGCAGTTGATCAGCATCGTTCTGAGCGTACAAACGACGACTGTCTTGAATTGAACGTCTTAAGTGATGTGCGTGAACGATACGAAACATATATATCAACATCAATATGATACCTTGTGAACCATTCACCAAATTGAACAAATAATGAAACGCCGTTACGTGCGGTACGAATAACGTGCAATATTGAAAGATCTGAAATCAGCATTAAATACTCTTTTTGTAGCACTTTATTAGACCACTTTAAATACGGTATCAATTGTATTTGCGGTACAATTTGCAATAATCACGACTGCCAGTATCTTTTACACCGCATTTCATCGAAGTCAATGCGAAAGTAAATAATAAAGAGAAAATTTTGAAATAAAAGGCTCAGATACAGAATTTTTGAGCGATCAAATATGTCTGAAAATAAGAAATGATATTCAATGCGGCGAACCCAAGGCACTCCAAGTGTAAATTGTACGAGAATGAGCGTAAAGATTTTGAGTCGTTGCGTAGACTTGTTATGTGTTAGCTGTAATTGCAGAATGACGTTCAGTTGATGTGATATCAAATGAAAATGAAACTTTTTTGAATGTTTCGACAATGAATGATTCAAAATAACCGATGAAATAATAACAACAACTATGACAATAATAATCTCCACCTGTTTGGCGAGGCCTTTTTTGAAGCAGATTAGAGGGAAGAGTCTGTTCGAGATCATTGTGAAGCAGATAACTCCATTGACAAACACAAGACTCAAAGGAAAAACAACAGCCAAGAAAATATAATCCGGTCGAATCCAACAACTTAAAGTGATGAAGTCATTTGCTGATGCTTGCACCAATGCTGATCTTAACAATGATGATAATATTAACAGTAATAATCGAGTAGAAATAAGCAGACTAACGCACAATCTATCATCTCTTCGAAAGAAATCTACATTCATTACTGCAACCACGATGCATATTATCACTGGTACACCTGTAAATGAGTTGCAGGACACAAAGTTGAGTCGATGAACACAATCAGAAAAATAACCACTTGATGCGGTGTTAGGTCAATTCATCTAACGACATTTCACCTAACGGACATTCCCCCTAATGTGCTTCCGAGAGTATTAGTTACAAGCGTTCAGGAGTTGTCCGAATCCCTCGACCCTTCTTTCGGAATTTCCTTGGGTTGTTTATTTCGTAACGTAGCAGTGGAACATTCGTGTATTCTAGAGCAGTGGTTCACATAAGGCGTGAAATTACCCATTCTGGGTAGTTTGGAGGTGTCAGGGGGTAATGAAAGGGTCGGGAAATTAGTATTTCTGAGTATAATCAACTCTTCCGGGTCTAACAGGGCTTTCATTCGTTTTAACAGGATTTTCATTCTTTTCCTTGCTGTTACAATCGCCCTCATAGCTTTTATCACCAAAAATGTTGTCTTTTGCTAATTTTCTCATTCATTTCACTCAACAATTAAAGTCAAATTCTCACTCTATCAGATACACTCTATAATTGATCATTTGACTGTCGAACGTTGGTGAGCAATAATGTTCAATTGTTGCATTGTTGATTTCAGCTGTCAACACTCGTCAACGTTTCCAGTAAATAGTATATGCAACAGAATAAGAAACTGATTCGCACTGTAAAGTGAAATGAGACGAAGTGAAAGAGAAAAACTCATGAAGAGAACGATATTCGCATGTAATAGCTATGAGAGTGAATACAACACGTCTGAAAAGAATGAGAATCCATCTAAATCAGTTTAAAGTGAGCGTGTCACAGACAATAGCTTTCATGCAATCATAATTGACTGCAATAATGAGAAACCCAACGCTCTAAGAGAAGGCCTAGCCATACCGAATACTTTCATGATGTTCCTGTACCAGAAGGTGGGGGGGGGGATATCTGCCAGATCATCAAAAGGGATAATGGAGCACCCGAACGTGAGAACCACTGTTCTAGAGTGTATACGTACGTAATGGCGGCCCCACAATCGTGCGACACGTATTAATAGAGAAAATACATTCCCGAATACAAGATTGAATACCGAAATGTTCATCGCACAAGTACTATGACCATCACTAATTAAACTGACTCATGTCTGTCGGTACGAAAAAGTATAAGAAGCGATCAAATACAATAAATATTGCTTACCGATTCCAATTGCGAGAGCAACAAAAATGTTCGACGCTTTTCTAAGAAACGATTCCAGATATTTGGATGGATTGAATGTTGATAGAACTTTCAATGACTGGAACGTTGTCATGATGATACACCTGAAACAAAGTCATCCTATCACTGAATAAATAAAACTACATGATTTTGAGTCTCACAATTTCGAATTCTGGATTCTAACTTGAAATCCGAAAAAAAGCCGCAATGAATTTTAGTATGTAAGAGTTTTCGATGAGTTGCACGAATGAGCATATAAATCGCTATAATGACATTTTGAACTGAGTAAAATGTTCGTAAAGCCTGCATGGCGATTGAAAGTGATAATTCATTGTTGCTAGCATTTTCGAACGTTGTGGCTGATTATCCGATGGCCGAGGATGTAGATGAATATGTGATAATATTTATGATTCAAGTGTGCACGCGTTTTATCCGCATATTCTTGCGACACACATGAATGAAGAAAATTAAATGAAATAATAATTGAAAGACTACGTTAGGAAGAGTGTATATGTAATGGCGGCCACAATTGTACAGTTGAAAGCACCGAAATTTTGATCCGTAAAATATGTGAACATCAAGAAAAATAGAAACATTCCACTGATATACAATATGCCTAGAGTGTCATCGACAACACGAGGTTGATACTGAAGAATGAACGATAATCGCGCATAGATACGACCTTTTGGATATCTGCAACCATTCATCTATTATCCAACCGAATTTCTTTGCGTTGCCATTTGATCGCGAACATTAACACTGTTACGTTGCTACTGCTGTCACGTTTGAATTAGTTCATTGCAATCATGCATTATTGATGCTTAAAAATGGGGAAGAGAAACGAATCACACTATTGCTTATTGGAAACCAATATCAACTGAAGTGATGAGCCGAAAGCATGTAGAATTAACGGAAATGCTCATGAGAGATGAAATCAATCATCTTATAAGGAAGCAATTGGCAGATTAGGCCAGATCAAGGAATGGAAAAGATACAGTTTTACGAAGTAGAATGTTGTTAAAAGGGCAAGTGAAATAACTGAAGCAGTTCCGATTATGAGTCCGAGTACAACAAGGACTTCATCGCATAATGCTGGATCTGTGATCATTCCATTCTGAAAAAAAAAACACTCATATTCATGAGTGTTCAATCGGCGCTTGTCATTGATCAATCAGCTGACGAGAAATCTAGAAATGTGTTTCGCACTATTTTGAGATCGTATGGCTCGCAGGAGAATATAAATGACTAATTAATTGCTCAATCAATACTGCAATAAGAAGTAATCGACTTTTGTGGAACTTACAACCAGAAGTGTAAAATCACTTAGATGAAAACAATTCGACTGATAATATCGACCGTGAGCAGTTGTGAACACGGAACAGTGTTGTTTCGACCATCCAGTGGCATCTAGATAGTGAGATACAACAAACTCGCCATGCAGTGGACGCAGTAACTGAACTTGATTACGATGATGATTATCAACATTGAGAGCAGTCATGTGATCCACTCACTTGATTTTCATTTAAGATGTGCTTATGATTCAATCAAATGGTTTCAATAGAAACTTAGTGTTGTATCGATAGCAACGAAGTATCAATGAAGTATCATTGGTGAGCATTTATCTCAAGTAGATATCCTAATGAGTATCTCAATGGAAATGATTTCATGAGTGAATCAAGTGAATTCGGATTCCGCGATGTGAATTTTCCAATTTCTGTAATTTTATGCCAAAAGTAAATGGGATAATAACAAAAACAATCGTGAAAGTAGTGGTAACAATGCTTGCAATTGTAAAAGTGATATCAAGAATCGTCGTGATATCAATATCAAATGATATCAATAAACCTTTTTAGTGCTATATCTTATAATGGCCATTGTTTGCTGAGTACCAGACACATTGAATTGTTTAATGGTTGCGTTGTGATCCAGTAAAGATGCAGTTAGAATGCGTTGATTCGTTAGGAATTGTCCCACAGTGCATCCTCTGTTCTCGGGCATTTCGGATCGTTCATCATCTCGTATCTGATAGTCACTTTCATTTCCAACAAAAAACTTTGCATTCCGATAGACCACAAAGAAGGATTTCACTGCTGGAAAGAACAGTGTTGTACACAAATATTTACAACAGATTGAAATAACCTATCATACGAAGGATACATCCAATTAGATATCTTTTGCAAATTGATCAAAATCACAGGATTATACGGTTGGATATATCTATTACGGTAAAGACTTTAGTTCATATTAAGTGATAAGATATATGTCAAAGTATAACAATCGGGAGGATTAAGTAAACGGTGCTATTTCGATTCGCAATTGTTAGATGGATAATGAAAAAGGAGAAACACCTTGTGACCTGCAAATGGCATCTAATGGGATGTGGATCGAAGCAGAATGTTCGTCGTCTTCGTCCTCATCACCAGTGATCAGCTCGAATTTAGCACCGCCATCTGCGATTCCTTGCAGCTCTCCATTCCAGTCGTCATCATCCGTTAATGAGCATTTCACTGCTCTTCCAGCCATTGCAAGATTGCTTCCATTCATATACTCCACTTTTGATGGTGCATTCCGAAATAGATCTGGTAGACTCCGAAGAAATCTGCAATGTTCTGATTGTTTTGATAATTAAATTGTTATTCAAATAGCGGATTCGTTGGTGCATTTGAATACCGAAAAGAACTGCAATCATAACCGGCCTATTAGTAGAGTCCAAATCGCCATTATTGCTTCGATGGAAGACAGCAATAGGCAATTGGAGCAGTGAATCCATGATTTCTGCTGCAGTTATGAAGACCTGAAGAAAGAAAAATTTTTGATGATTTGAAAGCAGTCAAAATCGAGTTGAACGTATCGTACCGTTTGCGTAAGATTATTAACACGTGATGCATTTCTGATGATTAACGATATTTGATAAACGTCATCAGGTCCAGTTCGACCTTCACCGTTCGATTGACTCAATAAATTCTTTACAAGTTTCATTACATGTTCTACATTATTGCCATTCAATGAAATCTGAAAGTTATTGCTGTTCACTGAATCGAATTACATTCACTTCTTCACACAATATCTATCTCATGCTCAGTGCACATTCTCATATCTCATTTTTCGAATTTATTGCAAATCAGTGAGCCATTAACAATCCCTTGAACACCCTGCTTATTATTTGGCATTCATCCTTAGCAGGATGCGGCAAAACGCACATTTCGCGAGCTGAAGTGAAAAGACTACGGTGATGTAACAATTATACGTTTCAAATCGGTTGTTAACTGCATGTCGTTATTATGATCGCACTCGCACATTAATGTAACTGAGGGCCGCAATTTAACAGACAACAATAAGCTGGTTCAATACTCATTATAACTTGCGAAAGCAGTAGTTGAATCAGGCTCGATTGATGTGGTTGTGTATGATGAAGGTTCGGTATAACAAAAAAACAGCTAGCAAAACGATACCAACACCAGCATAATCAATCGCTTGAACTACCCACATTTGCGAGACCACCGAATGTATCATACGACGACCAATTGAAGTTTGTTGTAGTCGTTTCTATTGATGGTGGTGTGGATTCCAGTACTGGTGCATCTAACAGTTAACTTATTTGATGATGTACTCTAGTGTTTATGATGCAGTTTCATTATTAATAAAGATTCATGTTAATTTGGATGTATATTCATGCATGGATATGTTATGATTGTTATTATTGCTTTTATCATTACTATTGCTACATTTTTATCAGTACTGTGCGTATCATTATTGTTTGCGTAAAAAATAATTCAAAAGTGTGGACGATCGGATACCAGTACCTGAGGAAGGAATGGTTGACACAGGATCAGTTGAAATATTTGGATGTGATGAAGATAGATTGTTGAAAGATGTGGTTGGTGTAGACGTCGATTGGGATGTTGTTTCAGAGGTGAGCATTGTAGTACTTGCGAAAGCAGTAGTTGAATCAGGCTCAATTGATGTGGTTGGGTGCGATGAAGGTCGAGTACGGAGGGTGGTTGGTGGTGATGTCGACTGAGATGTTGTTTTGGAGGAGGTGAATGATGCGGTGCTTGCATAAGTATCATTTCCAGACTTTGATACTTCACATATTGAACTGACGGTTTGGATTTGACTCGAACAATAGAGGAAAGATGTAACTAATGTGAATGGCGTTACTTGATTCCTTGATGCAATGCATTCGGACGATGCTAACGGCTTTTTAGCATCAAACGAAAGTGTATCATTCAATTTGTAAATTGATAGTGCTTTGTATGCGTCGTCATATTCATTAAAATGGAATGAAAATTCTATTTTACAAATATCACCGCTAACCTCCAGTGAGCAGTGCTCAGCAGTTAAGCATCTGCAACATGACATGAATATGTGTTATGAAAAATACGATGATAAGCTGTGTTTGCATTGCGACAATAAATCAGAACGTATTTCACCGTTCAATCCATATTTCAAATGCAGTACTTTTTGAATTGAAGGAGAAACTGAATGAGTTGATGAGTGTTTCAGAAGGTATTTCAGGTACCCTATTGTCATAAGTACATACCGGATTTCAGAAGATTCAGAAGATTCGCCATATTCAGCTTTGATAATGTAAACGATATTCTCTGGAAGAATGAGACCAGTATCACTGCGGTACAGCACTACTGATGCATTGCTAACATCGACTGCGTTCTGATCAATTTGAAGAACCATTAGAGTTCCAATTATAAAGTCAACATTAGAGGCACTTATCGGATTTTGAAGTTCGGAGTATGATGTGTAATTGGCATCCAAATGATAGTTACTATGACATCGATCCGATGTTAATGATATGGCTGCTGCATTTTGATTGAAAGCTTCCGCTGCTATAAGTGTGTTTTATGAACATGCAATTCGAGATGAACAAACCACACAGAATTTTTCTCTGGTAATGGCATTACAAAATGAATAAATAAACGAAACAAGTTCATCATCCGAAGTTCAAAAAAGTTCATTTGAATGCTCTCAATTCACTTAGATGAATATGAAATTGAATAAAGTATAGCCAGTGATCAATGAACGCATTTAGCAGATACCTGACGAAACGAAGCTAAGTAAAGCCACCAGAACAACGCATGAATGGTAAGCAAGAGCCATTCAATCAGTTGAAGTGAAGATGGAACGTTCGCTGCCCAAATGGGACAAGACAGCAAACAGAACATGCTTATCTTTATCATCCTAATCAAATTTTATGACCTCTTTTACAGTAATAATGGGTGGATGCATTTTGCGTATGAGCATCCTGTCATACAACTTCAGATGTAGTCGTTATTCATCGATTGCTGTTCGAATGCGCACATAATCGAATGCTTCTTATCATGATAAATAAACGAAAAAAACAATTGTTGACCTTGTTAATGTTATACTTTAAACTCTAAGAATGTATGGAGTGGGTGGATGTGAAAAAGCAATGTCAACTGATGTTTTTGCTCACTACAGATCAGATAAGAGGAAAATTGGCTGTGGTCATCCAGTGATTATTCATACTTCAATCAGTGAACTAAATGTGGTTTCGCGTAATTCATTGATGCGACATAAAAATGCCTACAAGACATTAAAAACTCTTAAATTTCACTGAACTGCGAAGCATGGTCATCCGATGGAACCGAACAAACATAATTTCCGTTTTTTAAGATTGTTGCAAAAAGTGCCGAAAAAATTTTATGGATGCGTTTATCATTCTGTCTAGTGCATCGGAATGTTGGCGATGTTCATTGAACAGTGATTAATTTCAAAATGAAGCAAGCGTTCATGAGGTGGATGGAACGCACACAATGTTGCATCAGCAGTCACAAGTCTATTAATGAAGGGGCCGTTTCAGCCGACTTTGAGTAAGTGGAAAATTTCGACGAATGAGAAAAATGAAACTAATTTTAGACCGGGTTGGTTGACTGATTGCAAATCAAGAGCAAGTAATCTATCAACAAATTTGTTGGTTACACTATATAACGATGAGTTTGTTTTGTTGTTTTTTTCGGTTGAACTGATTTCTTTTTGAAGCGATTCTGGACCAGTTTTATGCTCCGATTCCAGTTATGTCACTTGCTACTTTTTATCAACATTCACCACTGCCTTATAGTATCAGACAGGTTTATCACCGTGTTTTATGCTCACAAACTATAATGCAGCAGATCGCAATAGAACAGCGTCCATAGAATGAAATCCAATGTAACACATTTTTTTAAAGAATCATAATAGCAATTCTTCACAGCGGTATTCGAATGCATGGTAAAAAATCAAAATGAAATCATCAAGCAATAAATCTTACAGAAGTAATCACGAACGAATCGTATGATTCGAACGCATGGCGAGAAGCCATTTATAGAACTGATGAAAAATTAATCCAGCCAAATACATCTCGATAATGTGTTGATAAGCGATAGCACCACAGTGTTTAATAGCATATGGTACATAAAAACAGATAGCATATTTGCAATCAGCCTAAACAACTGATTCAGGATCGAACAGAAGATCAGGTCAACAGTAAATTTTAAAACTTTGTTTTGCAGTAGTACTCAACACTGATTCGTATTCGATTTAGTGGTCTAAAGTACCAAAGTCTGGATTAAATCGTTAATCGCGATACTAGAGACCGTGCATGCGAGGTCGTGAAATGACGTTCTCAAATCCTCATTTCGGTTTTTTGTTGAGCAGTCATTTTTCTTATCAACAGTTTTGCTTATGGCACTTAAACGAAAGTTGAGGTAATGTCCTAATCACTTCATCATAAAGACAAAATTGCGGTGTGACTAGACGAGTAATTGAATTTCGATGGTCTTTTGCTGCAGAGCAATTTTCATCGTTATTCTCGTAACCCATATGAAAGGATCAATTTCACCGGAATGGTACACTAATATAAGATGTGGAAACGGCTCATAAATCAATAAATTTTATAAAGGATAAATTTTTTTATAAATAATTGACGTGTGCATTTGCATTCGATGCGTTAGGGTTTCCATGAAGAGACGAGCTTCAAAGGTAGTACTATCCAATAGTCGCCATTCACGAATCATCTTAAATCATTCGGAGAATGTTCAGTATGTAATTTGGAAAAATTCTTTGATAAAATTGTGATGAAACAACTTTTTTGATACTCTCTTGCATTCGCTGTTTCAGAGACGTCCAAAATGTTTGAAATTTTCTGAAGAAAAGTTGAATGCAAATAACATGGATACGACAACAGTATGGAACACAAACAACAAACAGCAACAGCAGCGATACGCTGAGTTGTTTTTTTAAGTACCAATTGAATGTAAATTGCAATTCGATAAAAATTCCTCATTAGGGTGTTTTCATCTTGCGTACGTAATTTCTATTTATTATGTTTTGAGACTGTGCGGAAAAATGTCGATTTTCCGAGTGAAAACTGACACTAGTTTCTTAGACACTGATATCAGTTCTACTGGAAAATGACTCAACAAAAACATGGATGAAAGAAGCATCTGCCTATTGGTTGCTCTGTGAAAATTAAAGGATGGCTGAATTTAGAAAGGTGAAGGTCAAACTATTCAGCGGGGTACACGAATGAAAATAAATATGTTGAATCAGTGGAAAGTGTTCAAAAGTAAACTAACTCCATGCACTGGCAGATCTCTTGAGAAACTAATTCGGCCTACGTCGAACAGTTTGAACTTAATCGATTTTCCAAGAACGGTACCTTCTTCGATTGTAACGAAACCTTGAAAAGTATGTTTAATTAATGAATTTCATCACGAAAAACCGCTCCAATTCGACCAATGAAAACAACAGCTACCATTTTCTCATCTAATGCTTTCTATTTGTTGATTCATTTCGCACGCATTCTTCGACTTTCTGATGCCGTTTTTTCTCAGTAATTCATCGATAATTTTTTCTTCTGCAATTTGTACGTCCATACTGAACATAGGTAGACTTTACAATTCTATGAATAATGACTGCGATTGGAAACGAAGCAATTTTTTGCTTGGAGGATTAATCATATTTGATGGGACATTCTTTCAACGGAGAAAGGCGCTTTTCAAGATCCTCCTGGCTTCGAAGCTATTAACACCACCGTTCCAAATAGAACTGCTATCAGTAGTGTTAAAATCAACTGTTGAATGCAGTGCTGACCATTGTCCATGACGGTGGTCAGTGCTATCTGCTTCGAATGCGGTTTCATCGCAAGATATCCATATTCAGCATGCAGTTCCTGTCTGTTGTTTATGTCCCATGCGAACGCACTGAAACGAAACGATCTCTGCAAACGCATTACATATCCATCAAAACCATTCACATCATTTATCAAGAAATATTCACACAAAAATCAAAACAATCTTAAAATTGAGCAAAACACCACTAACGTGTAATTAAGTGCTTTAAGACCTTTCATCCCCTTATTCGGCAGTGATATTGAGATCTCTTCACCATATGTGAAAACTGGGATTGTTGGAAAGATTGCTTTGCCGCCGGCTTCTGATCGCCACACACCCAACAGGAAACCGATTGGTCTCAACTCATCGGGCATATTTCGAACATCGAATCCTTGAAATACGAAATCGCTAATAATTTAAACGTTTTTCAAAAGACTGATTCAATTTAAGCAATGTAATCATACTTCTTTAGTTGATCGCAAATTTGAGGATTATGGAGTTGCAGGTTTATTCATGAATGAATGTGGTTTCATGTATTCTCTCGCTTTGTCATCTGTTGTGCTTACTCATATGAAACCGCTTATTAAGGGATGTTCATGCACAAGTGTTTTGTCAGCGCTGCAATTGGTTTGTTTTCGTTAAGGTGAATGACAAACTTTTGTCTGGCGTTCCGCACTCGACACACGTCTTTCGACAGCTCGTCTTCACATAGGCCACCGATTCACAATCGTTTCCATTTGCAGCCACCCACTCAAAGCAGTGACGATCCTTGTCCGTACACGTTTCATCTACAAGCTTTCACTCACTGTTCACGGAGAACATCTAGCCGACAACATTTTTCTGGTTGAAAGGAAAATTTGGTGTTGATGGTCAAGTAAGCGTAGTGTGTTGTAAGTTACTGCCTAAATCACATTAGGCTTGCTAGGTGGCCTGATGTTGCTAAACTTCAGAGTTTTCGAGCGAAACTGATCGTGGCTCGATCCAGGTTGAGGCGGAATCGTGCCATGATTCGTTATTCCGGTAGTTCTGAAGCTGAACAGCCTTGAAAAAAACGTCGATCGGAAAGACGTGTTTGTTAGTGTCACTTAATTTCACACTTTTAAATAAAGTAACGCATTATTAAAAGCTATCAAAAAGGCAATTAGTTATCATAAAAATTTGACGAGATTTTGAAAGGAGATTTCGGATGAAAATGCTTTTTGAGGTGCGCGAAAAACAGTTCGTCGAATGATACTGAACTGAAATTCGGCTGCAGATGGTCACCAGAAAACTACTAAAGATCACTTCGTCATTACAATGATCTTACTATATGCTCGAAGGAAAAACCACTATCATTAACAAAACTGTCACTCAAGCTAACTGATTTCGTTCAAACACGATGGTCATTCATTACTGCTGCCAAACATACCGAAACAACAACATTTTCAACCTTAGACAATGAATAGTTTCTGCTCAAAACTTCATATCTTCAGAAATGTAAAAAACGTCGATCAAAGTTAATTCCAGTTCATTAGGTAGGGTTCATGCGGAGCTGGTTGAACAATCTTGGAGTTCAGGTGGGAAGAATCTGAGATAAGCAAGGAAGTCGAAACCAGTTGGAATCACTGCACTCTGAAGAGTTTAAAATTGATACGTGGTCGATGAAGACGGAAAAAATGAGCATTTATGTAAGTTACAGTGAATTCTTTCAGAATAACAAGGAAACGCTTTCCTAGAACGAACGAATAATTCAATTCTCGCTTTTAACGAGCACCTAACGAATTTCCCACATATTTCATGATTCGGTGTATTCCTTTCGCCTTCTGATGTAACATCGAACTTAAAGCTTTCTGTTCGTTGTTCATGTCTGATACAAATCAGTCGAAATTATGATAGGCTTAGGATGTATAACATGGAAACGTAGACATGAAAGGTACAGAAAAAAACTGCAACGAGAACGAAGAGTTTACTGGAAAAAGCTTGGGTAAGCAGTATTAGAAGTGGCACAGCAACAATAACAATTAAGAACATATGCATACCGACAGGTTTAAATTGAGATACATCGAAGGCGGCGGTCACAATTTGCGCAATGCAAACAAGGAGAAGAATTACGGTGAACACAACTGAATCCATCGAAAGACGTTTACAACAATGTCGATCGAAGCAAGAAGCGTTCAACGAAGTGACGAGGAGTTGACTTGGATGAGCACTGTGATTACAGTGAAGCACGAAAGCGGTGGGGAAGAACGCAATGAAGAGAGTTTAGAAGAAGAGTTGCGGTTGAGCGATCGAATTCGGTTGTTATGTTGTTTCGTACTGATTCATTCATTCCTTGCATTCATTCAGTACCGTGTACGCAGTCAGCAAAAAAAGAGAAATTAAAGGGCGAGGAACAGGAAAAGGAGACGTTGAAGACACGAAAATCTCGTCTTTTGCCAGTGATACTGTCACGGCCACCAGTTCTTACATAACTGAGCATATCATCTTCATCACCATCATCATCATCAGCAGCAGCCACTGTTCTTTTTTATTTCCATTTTCATCGTCAAAAATAACCGGATCATTCGTTGCTGAGATTTGTTGGATAGTTCACTTTCTTTTGAACAACAATTCGACAACTGATTGATTAAATTATTGATCAATTATTATATTGCAATATTGCGTGCATTCGAAATTTCAACACAAACTTGACGATCCTCGACAGATACTTTGATTTATGAGTTGAATGATTGTGATCAACAGGTGATGATGATGATAATAATAACAACGGTGATAAGTAAAGAATACTAATAGAAATAAAGGATAGAATAAAGCACAGAATAATGACAGACGTCTATGAAGTTCTACAACTTCAATCTTCAAACTATCTCAAGAAGCTTTGATTGATTAACCTGTCGAGTTACCAACCTAGACGTTCACATCCATGTAATCATTTGAATGAAGTGATTACCACTTGTATGACCAACGCAAAATACAATGTTTATACCATGTCAAAGGAAACTAAAGAATGACAGAATACATTAATGCCCTGACAAATAATTCGCTGCAAAAACATTTTGAGTAGGTCATTTTAAGGAGAATGTAATATGGAATGAGCATGACAAAATATATGGCTGTCATTTTACCTCACTGAGGCATATCATTAATAGAGTACGCAATCAAATGCTGAAATTCTTTATCAGTGATTGAACTCATCAGTTGTCAGCTATCAGATTCGTCAACACCTCCAGCGTGGCTTCAAACGCATATTTTCACTTTATTCAAGTCAAATGAATGCATCTAAAAACTTGAAATCCAAAATTTCAAGTTTCCAAATTCATCTCTGAAATTGTAAACGTTTAAGATGGGCATGTCCGCTTGGATTATATCCCGATAATATCAACCATGAAGAGGAATATTTTTAAAGCATGACAGTTTCTGAGGTGCTGCTTGGTTGAGCGACGAAATGGTGAGTGTATGTGGTATATTTAAAAGCATAATAAAATGGAGGGATGACACCTTTAATGATCAAATTTTAGTATTTTCGGCAGTTTTCATTAATTAAAACTCGAATATCTGACAATGATACTGAGATCTTACAGTTTATCAATCTTATCGCTGAGATGTTAAACATGTTCATGTGCTGAACAGCTTTCGTCTGCAGGTTCCATACTGAAACTCTTTAGATACACATGATATGAAGAGTTTCAGAGTTTCATTATGGAACCTCCAGACGAGACCATGTCTTATTGGTTATTGCTCACTTTATTGCATTCATTCGTTAATCATTTATATTTCTGCACCTCATACGAAATCTGAACATGTAATATTACATCATACCAGACTATTTCTTCTTTTCATTTATCACGTATTCATTTTCTTGATTTTTCTGATCAACTGAGCAGTCTCTGCATCTTGATTTCTAAATATACTGATTTTCGATAGGTCCAATGAATACATTCGTCATTAGAGGCACCTATGGACAAGTTTCTGATTTGTTTGCTGAATTCCATTGCACCTTGAGAACTCCTTCTTTGCTAGTGGTATTCCAAAAAGTTACAAATGAAATGATGGGCACGCTGATGAAAAAGAGTAACTCCGCTAATCGCTACTTTCAAATCATCCTTCAAAACTTGCAACTGCAATAAATTGCAGCACCTAGGATAACTGTCACAGCCAACATCCAAAGTTGTTATGAGTTAATAAGATAATCGAATTCCTTGCTCATTCATGAACTCCTTACCCACTCACACCTCCAACTCAAAGTTGATGAAACTATTACCCTTACCGATCATACAATGAAATTCAGAAATCCATCACTTAAGATGTGCATCCTGATGACGAAGTGACGAGTTTCGGTCATTTTACCTGTCCAATCAATTGAGAACATAGCAGAAAATGATAGATTTCCTATAAACGTCCCTTAAAGATCTTTGAATTCAGAAAAAGACACTTCGGTGATTAGTATCTGTATCACTTGGTTTAGTTAATCCATCAAATCTTTCCATTTTCCTGGTGAATAAATCACTTTTTCTCGGAAGGTGAGCAAAATCCCTCAAGATCTTATAAAGTTTTCCGATAGTAGAAAACTTATTCTATCCGTTCATATCAAGAAACCATTATGATGCTGGCAAGAATGAGGGTCACTGTAGCTTGTTTGTGGAGTTTATAATATTCCTCCAGTAGTTCAGCAGATTACAAGTCTATTTTCCGAGTCTACAGAACTCTAATACGATGAAGGGAGGAAGCTATGTTCTGAACTAATTTACCTATATGAGACATGTCTACATCAGCTATTGCGCTGCGGATAAAACTACCTCGGCTAATAGCGGAATAGCGAATAGCGCACTAGTGCCCATCACTGTACAGATGATTGCATTAGTTCAGAACATAACTTCCTCTCTTCATCGTATTAAAGTCCTGCAGACTCACAAAATAGATTCGAAATCAAGTGAACTACTGTAGGAATATTACGAACTCCATATACAAACTACAGTAACCCTCCATGTACAAGCTATATTAGAGAGATGATCAACTCGATTAGGTAGCAGCAGTCATTGCTACGCAATTGCCTGAATGAACTTCTCGTATCCAACGGCGATTTGCTCCTTTATTCAATTCGTTTCATCCACCATAGCATGAAAAGGGTAGATAGGCAGACGTCTTGAACAGCGTGGCGAATCGCAACATTGAGTACCATGGATAATAAAGACATGCACGTGCTCCACTAATTTGCTAACTTGTAGCCTTGTGATTGTAGTCTAGCAGTGTTCTATAAAATTCGTGAGGTTTTCTTAATATTCTCATAGCAACTCTCCAACATTCTTGTTCATTAACTAGTTTATTGTGATCATCTAAATAAGTTTTCAGTTCTTAATGTTCTGTCGTTCAAATTGCTTGCCGTTGAATTTGCTCGATTTTATTGATATATGTATCTAATATAATGAATGTTACTATTAACTGAAAAATGCTGACAATTTCAGATCGCAATGGCGTTACGGTTGCTCTCTAAGCATCGTATACTTTTGTCTCAATCGAGTCGTTTCTATGCGGCTGGAGCAGATTTTCTTAAGGATGTACCTCTGATGAATCGTGATGGTAAAGTAAATGTTGAGGATCTTAAAAATAAGGTATGAATTATTTCTTTTTTCTCATTTCACCATTAGTCATTTTCTAAACCTCAAGGAATTTTTTAGTGCCAATTTTGATAAATTTCTGTCGCATTGATTACAGAGAGTAGTTTTGGTTTATGTAAATTTTCGTCGATTCAGTTATATCTTTCAGGCAATAATTTTGTATTTCTCGGCGGGATGGTGCCCGCATTGTCGGCTGTTCTCACCGAAACTTAAGGTTAAATTTGCTGTTCGTCATTGGTTTTTTCATATTTTTTATGAAGGCCTTTTGTCACCAACAATTGTTCAACTTTTCGTTTGCTCTTAACATGTGCTCAACCGTATTGATCTGTTTCCTCTGTATAACCAGCAGTGCTGAGTTATTATTATTCACTACCATCAATTACTTTCGAACTTTTTTCAACAGCAGTTGTAATTCCACTGAAGAGCATTTTCGTTGTGATTTAACCGTAGCCGTAGTACATTCGCTTAGTTTTTTCCGTGTCATTATTATCGACAATTGCAGAAATGGTATGAGAGTGCAGCCAAGAAAGAGGGTATTGAAGTGATATGGATTTCGCGTGATAAGGAAGCAGAGCATTTGGTCGAATATCACGAAAAAGCTTTACCGAACATACCGTACATTCCCTTTGGTGATAAACATATCAAGTAAGCCTTCGATTGTTGAACAAATTTCAAGAGGATGCGATTTGTGCATGTTCGTTAATATTACCATAGTTTCTTTCATTATGAAATTCATTTGGTGAATGCATTTTCTAAAATTTTCTGCTTCAGAGAATTTCTTGAGGATTATGACGTGAAAACAATCCCGCAAGCAAGACTCGTGAACAGTGAAGGCAGAGTAGTTGAGCCAGAGGCTAGAAACAGAATACAGGTAGCAGTTTTTCTTCATTATCGAAAACTTTCCATTCCAGAGAAGGTTTCTGAATAAAATCAAGACTTAAATGTAAATTTTCGAATTGTATTCCTAATTATATTTCCATCGCGAAACTTGCAGCACTGGTTCTTAAAAAATTTTGCAAAAGTTAAATTGACTTCATTTTTGACGGTTTGACGGTTGGTTAATCAACTTTTAGTTTGATACTTTTCTTTTGATAAAACTGCTCCATCAAATTTATGTAATATTATGCAAAATCAGCGCATCAATTCAGTATCATTCGTAGTTGAAGCTCTTGATGAGTAAAACTCAACAAATATTGAGCTTTTGCCGAGAAGTCACTAAGAAAAAAGTTTAATTTCCAGGAGGAAGGAAAAGAAGATCCACAAAAGTTGGCTAGAAAGTTCGTTGAAATGGTTTAGGAAATTTGGTTGTTTTAAACGCTCGCATAAAACAACAATAATAAGAGTTAGGTATCGTGATAATACGTGTACGTTGTGTTCGTTCTGATTTAATCGTGTATTTCTTTCCTGGTGAAGCCGTTGTGATTATTCTATTTGATGTTTTTAAGAATTTCAGTTGGATTGCACTTCTGCTGACTTATATACTTTATTGGTTACGTATCTTTACATTCTATTCAATTTATGTTCAAATAAGATAAGCCTAGTAAATTCTTTGAATAATATTGGCTTATTAGTTTCAATTCGATTCGATTACATTTATTCATTCATTTATTCGCACATATAATTATACCATAACAACATTTCAAGTTTGCATAGGGCAAATTGTGATAGTCAGTGGTGAACAGCAATGTTCATAGGAATTATTGATGAAAGAATTGAAATTGGCATATCAAAAATATAGCATCTAGGCAACCGATTTATATGCACCAGATCAGATCAGATTCGTTATCGATGTTTTTGATGAAAAATAACATTGGCGACATTACAAGTTCATCAGAGGTAGACTGTACAGTATATACATCATTATTCAATTGAAATTAACATAAAACAAATGCAAATAGCAGAAAATTCGATAAAACATTTGAATTTATAGTGAAAATTTTTCATCCGAGCCAGCTTTTCATTGTATGATCAGTATTTTCAATAAATGATTTTCAGTGAGATTTGTCACATCGTAAACAGGAATTTGTATTGCTTCTCACCGTATGCAAAATGCAAATAAAGCTGCCATGTGAAGAAAAAACTTCTTTAGCAATGAGAAAATAACTCTGAACGAAATTTGTTCATGACAATACCAAGTTTATTTTTTCATTTATAGTATGGCTACCTTCTCTCCCATACAATTCTTCAAATGCGGTAGCTGTTATGGTTGGATTCATGACTTAAGCTTTCAACGATAGTGAGGTTTCCAGAGCTTTATTGAGTTCATGGTTGCTGAATAACAAGATGGATGCGATGAGCAAATGCGCATTCACTAGAATGCAACAAAAAGGCTTAGAAATTGAATAGGAGGAGAGCTGAGAATTAACATATTGAACTTTTTGCAAAAATATCGGAAATTTCCGACCTTGAAATCAGTTATCTGCTCAACTTTTATCTGTGTCGAAGTTATCTGCTCAACTCAAAAACATTCACATTCCAAATATGCCATTTTTCAGCGATCCAAATGTAACATTCATGAATTTGCTGACAAAGGGTATTAATAGAATGTTTTGAATGAGTGTGTATGTGCCTGATTGTTGAATGAAAGCATTTCAAAGCTGGGAAAGGGCTTATGTAATCACGAGGATGAGATAAAAGTAAAATTTGAAAGATATTTCTCGAGAACGGCAACAGCATCCGGCCGTCCCATCACTCGCACCGTTTGCAAAAGATCCAGAACGGCTCGCTTTGAGCCAGCTTCAACAGACTCCCACAGGTCAAGCACCAGTGAGGTTGGCGATAGGCCTGGACGTGTTGCGAAATACTGAAATTTATTTTCACATCTTCATACGACCAATTATTAATCTTCAAATTTGTCACTGCATTGAGTCGAAAATACGTTTTTAATAGCAATGAATGCTAGTTATCCCATCATCGTTATCGGTTTAATTACGCATCATTAAATCAGCAAGAATTGATTAAACATTCACTTGGATATATCTATTCAGATTCAGTTTTTTCGCCAGTCCCCTCCAGTCTTTCTCCGGATCAGTTGGTAGATCTAATATTTCGGCTAACTTCCACCTGGTCCTTGAATCGAGCAAAAATTTCGTGGCTGCTGACGCTTCATCATCTAATTCACCATACGTCTGAAACATTTTCATCATCCTCCTCGTATGAACTTCTTCAGCACAACGACCGACTCTAGTATTGATAATAATACTGATAAAACAAACCATGCTGTGTTGCATATCGAAATGCAAAATTTGTCTAGCATCGGCATTATTCTTCTGATAGATCACAATACGACCAGATAATGTCTCAATTAAATCCTCAGGTATATCCACATTCAGACTACAATGTAAACCATTTTGTGAACACCATTGATGATGCGCATCCGGTATTTCCTTCAAAAGATGATATGATCTATTGACTGGAATCAGTTATTTATAACTATTTCGAGTAGATCTCTCAAATGAATGTTCAAGGCTAACAGCAAATGCACTAATCGCTTTTCTTGTTTGCAACAAATCTAAGCGAGATGAAAACTCTCAGAGAATCCTTTAAGAATGCAACAAAAAAGACAATTTTTCAGTTCAGTTCATACAGTTCAATACTGATGACAATGAAATTGTCATATATGGAAACGAACCACATATTGCGTTGAAGATCGCTTTGTAACAATACCCGTAGTTGAAACGTCTTCAAGACAAACGCACAAAGCGCCTCGTTCTCGCAATAGGAAATTCTCGCACTGGGCCAATAAAGCGCCGGTATTCTCTTCTTGTGTTAAGATATTTTGAAGTGCTACATCAGTTTCTGGTATACAATACACTCGAATTGACGTATCATTCGATATCCTATGCAACGGTCCAAATGCCGCTAAACGAACTCGTTTCGCAGCCAACGAATTCGCTTTTCGTGGCCTTCCAACAAGAACAAACTTACCGAACTGCTCACACATCACATGACACCTGAAATTTCGCGCAACTCATTATAACCCTCATTCACCGTTAAACTATGGGTCAGTTCAGTGGTGAGATTGTATTTAAAAAATTCGACCGAATTGAATTGCTATATAGCTCTTTAAGAAAAGATCATTTTCCGAGAAAATTGCAGACATTTAGCACAGATGCACCTCGTCGAAGGAAAAATAATTTGCATGAGAGTTTCAAAGGAGGCTATATCATTCATCTGATGTTTTTAACTCAAGCGCTTGACGTTATAATGAGCAAATGTAATAACAGCCCTAGTTGGTGGTAACGGAATTGGATAGCCAATAAATCTCGTTGAAACGATTCATTAAAACGAACGTACTTCTGCAATTCAACTTGACAATATACGGGAGTGTTGATGTTCTCATCTCCAATTCGAACAACCATTTGCCATATTGATGATTTATTCGCTTTCATGTACAACATCAGAATCCAATTATCCTTCGGAAATACACTTGCACAATGTCGGAATGATAGGATAAAAGGTCGATGGATTACGTTCTCTTCTCCACCCTCACACAAACCAGTCATTATTGTACTGCTCAGGATTGTTTCACCACCTTAAATATGCTATATTAACATTCTTTGTTAATAGAATCACTATGAAAAGCTCATCATCGGATCTGTCAATTCTAATCATTAGATTCCATCACAGTTTTCTCTGTGCTACTTTTTCCATCAGGAAATTTTCATATCACTGGACTGAAATATCGCTAAGATCAAACAAATTTCGAGAAACCATTGAATTTTGGTGCCAAAAATGTTGAAGCAATATTCAGAGAAAACCATTCTAATTACTTGAGAGTTTTGGTCGGTCACTGAGATCATCTGAAACTGCTAAGTAAATCATCTGTTGAGTAGAGAACGTCTCTTCAGGTATCGTCAATGATGCACCATTCTTCTTGAGCTGAAATACATTCGTTTCTGAAGGTTTTGATTCGATATTAAACAAATAAAGAAACAGTAATGTGCTTTTTCTGGCGACTGTCATTGAGGCAACAAAGCCTTACGAGATTCAAAGCCACATTCGTAAAAGATGCCATAAACATACCTCGAGTCGCGCTCCAATTTTATCCACATAAGCTGGCAGTATTGCATGAGGCATGTTGTTGATCTCAATAGAGCCGTACCGCTCACTGGCATCACCAACACAATCATAGAGCGTTGCATAGTTATCATCTGATGCATGCGAATTGGTTCGAGTTCGTGTTTTTTCATTTGATGAATTCGACGACGATGAACATTCCGTGATTAAAGCTGTACGTGAACCTGACATTTCATCATTCACTATATTGAACGACTGACTTCCGCTCGTTTCAAAATTTACTCAATAAATGCTATGGATTATTAAGAGAGAGAGCGTAATAAACTCAATTGATATGAGATTGGAGTAAACCCTTCGTGGAAAACGAACGGATTAATCAAAAAATGAGGCCTTCAAGCAAATATTAAATGAAAAATTTGAAAATGAGGAGAAACAAACCTGCTATGCGCTTTGTTGTTGAATATCCACTGTGTGTGGATTTGGTTGACTTCGCCGATCTCAACGTCAACGAAGAAGGGTGTATGATGGCATGGGCTGGTGAAGCGCTCGTTGTCAACGTGTAAAACTCATTTCCATTCGGCACCACTTTGAAACATTCGCCGGATTCACCAAGCAATCGTTGCTGTTGTTGCAGTAATACAGTACGCACATGGCCTGCAGGATTAAGATTGTGAAAAAATTTGATAACATTTACTCATCTTTATTTCCAATCACTGTTTTTCATATGATATTTCGCAGATTTAATCCCGTATTAGAAGAGTTCACATGACTGAGCCTCATCTTTCTTTGTTACGTGCATTCATTAAACTCGCGTGAAAATCGACAACTCAAAACACTGTTCAGTCATTCAAAGTTTTTAGGGCTCTTTCACAGGTTTTTTCCCTTTATGAAATATCCTGCGTATTGCACGCTTTTTGCAAGATATCACTGAGGGGAAGCAATGCACCACATGTCCTAGATCACATCGGTGAAGATCAATGCAATGATTCAAAATTTAACTTTTAATTTGATAAAATCATTGAGAATTGATACACATTACTGAAGCAATTAGAATCAGGAATTTTCTCACCGCTATTTTCAGCGAAATAAATTTCATTCTGTTTCGTTGTTCCACAACACCGTTTCCACTTGCACAACAGCAATAACATCAACGCGAATATTATTAGCAGTAACAAGATGACGCTCCCCAGACCAGCGTATACAGCTAATTGCGCCTCGAAGTTAGTGCCTATTAGAGCAGGTGTATTCGAAGCTGCTGCTTCATTCATACAATAGCCCTGTCCTCGAGTGCAATTATGTGTGTCCAAATCACGACCCAAACACAGTTGACCGCCATTCGACGGCTTTGGAGCATCACATTCACGTGTTCGAAATTTATAGCACGTTTCACTGCACTGTGACCATGCAGACCATTGCGTCCTGGAATTGACATCATGCTCATCCTCTTGAAAAATCGCAGAAAACACTGATGGATAGACTAGAATCCTGTATGGTTCAAAACCAAGTGATCTACATACTCTCCGTGTGCCTGATTTCGGCAACATAAGAATGCTTCTTCGGAATGCTTTTATTAAATGCTAGATTAATTAATCAAGTTGTTCAGTCAATAAATATAATTCTGTATGGATTGAAGAATCCGTTTAAAACTGGTGTCTGAAAATTTTTCATTTCCGTATCAAAACAATGATCGGTGATATTTGTTTCGTTCTAGGACTCACTAGTCAATTGACGTGAACTGCACAATGGCGTCAAACATGACTGACGTACGTGTTCAAATGGGACTGAATTACACTCATTAAGATGAAACACTTAAGATATCATTCTATTCGGTCAACAGACATCTGCTTAGTTTGAAGGACTTTCACGTACCTCACCATCTTCAATGCACCCGATATTACTCAACAGTATTACCCTTTTTGATATCCTCATTAACTTATTGCAACATATTATCTTATTTCACGATATGTCGGTTTAATCCAAAAAAAGAACTTCACAGCTGAACATATGACGTTCCAGACCTAGCCAGTATTGAGTGACTATAAAAGAGAAATCGCGATTCCCTGCTCGTTTCTACTCTTCAAACAATTTCATGACGAGTTGAGAGTTACGTTAAGAAAACTCACCAGTGTCCATCGACGACACAGTCAGTTTCACAAAGTTTCAACTCTTCTTCTTGACCAACGCACGGTGCACCACCGTTGATTGGCGCAGGATTATTACACGTTCTCCTCCTGATCACTCTCGGCCACAATTCATCAATTTTTGATCGATCACCTTTCCGACGCTCCAACTCAATTTTAAGCATCGCACAATCGACCCTACACGATCCACTCCAGTTTGACCAATCGGCCCATTGACCATCAACTGAAATGCTTTCAAATTGAGTCGAAACTTTTATGGTTTCACTTTGAATTACCCAAAAACTTTTGTGAAGAACGAATATCGGAAAGAACTCTTCGGTTTGCAAAATGATGTGCGAAAATACTGCACAAGCACTAACTGCAAAAATTATTCAATACCAGCTGATCCTTCAATTCAGCAGCTTCCATCTTAAAAAAACGATATGATAATCCCGAAGCTGCAATAATCCCAAATAACTTCGCTTAGTCCCTTGTTGAATAAAATCTCATAGTTGATTGGATGACCGAATGGTTGGATATGTCAATGGAATATGTGTATGTGGGATTTATAAAACGTATATTGACATTTAATGCGCATCGAAGAAAATAAATCTGAGGATGGCTAAAGAATACCTTTGGGATAACTTTACTCTAGCAGATAACAGCCGAGTAAATGCATCACAAAGCCTCTGGCAGGTTCATTCTCGCCGAACTTAAAACGATATTCATCTATGGCGCTGTCTGTCGATAGATTAACACCGTCAACCACCACATCAATCCAACACGTCAATTAATACTTTCTATCGGTTAATCTTTGATCTTCTATTCCACAGATTAAACTTTCCAAATGAACCAATCCCTTCACTTAACTTATTCGAAGCTATTCACATTCAGTCATCTGATATCTATTTGATTAACGATTATCCTCAGTTACGGTCACGAATGTGTTGTATCATTTTCAGATTAGTCTCTGTTCATGTTTGCATTACTGGATATCGCCATATTAAACCAACGTTCATTAAAACTGCAGAGCTGATCTGCACATTTCTCGAATGATTGAACACTAAAAATGGTTTGATTGCAAATCCACACAACAGTTTACACATCAATCCATTCGCATCGTAACATATGAATTTTCCGTAAGTGAAGAGGTCAGAAGATTCTGAACAATCCGCCATTTGATACGGTTCAATTAGCTATTTAAACTTTCAATGTCATTAGTTCTCTAATCAAACTATAACGCTGCCCTTAGTGATAATGACCAATATATCCAGGCAAATAATCGTTTTTTTGATTGATCGCCACTTCAACTCAACAGAAGTCTCTTCAAGGATTACAAATGAAACTTAAAAGGACACCACCAGCAATCACACTCTCTAAGGAACACTTCAAAGAGTCGCCAACAGAATGGCAATAATTGTAATAATAAATGCCCTATTAATGCCTCAATTATCGCTCAAAGCTTTGTTCAAAACCGCTTACAGTTTATTGTAGTGCATACTTCCGAATGACAATTGAAGAGTGCTGCTGTGGTCATCCTTCGAGCAGATATGACCTTCTTTGGTTCTGTGACCCCCCACCAATTACCTATCTCCATAACGTCTACGTTAACCAATTAAATGCGACTCACTAGGCAGTACTTGTGTGTGGCTGTGGAACAGAATATTTAAAACATTCTGAAACTGCTCAAAAACGTTGACTATCAATTTATGGAGGTGATCATTTGGAAAGCGGGTGCATCCAGTTCATCTTTGACGTATTCCTCTAAACCTTCAGATTGGTTTGTGAGAATCTATTAGTTCAGTGACATCATCAAATAAAATTCAACCATGCGATCTTATCATCGTAGAAAGTTGCAATGAACCATTTAGTGACCAATTCCCTTAGGAATACTTTTCTGATAGCGATTTCTCTCCTTCAATTTCAAATTCTTCTGCACAAATATTATGAATCGTTGTCGATGTATCGATCATTTCATGATACATCGTGAAAACAGTGTATTCAAGCCAAAAAATGAAGTTAGTAAGCAATATTTCATGCACTACATACAAATTCATCTACACGGTTCACTTGATCAAAATGAATAAGTTATTGAATCTTCCACTTCAACGACCCCATAATTGACGGTTCTCTTCAAGTGCTTCTCAAATAAACCCTCAAAAGGTCATCGCCAACCAGTCTCATCAATCATTTATCGATTCGAGGTTCATAGCAAATTCTAAGTGGACGAATAATTGCATAAAGTAGAAATGCAATAAATAATACGATGATAACGCATAGTAACGTAAACAATAGTCATAATACTAATGATGATAACAATTAACTATTCTTTATGTGTGTTTTATTTGCCCAATAACTCAATGCTTTATTGACTATTATTTGAAGCGATGCACTCAGAGTACGGTCACTTCAAAAGGCGTTGTTAATGGCACAGTTGTTGCGTCCTTTTCTAAAAGACACATCGCATCGTCTTCCTCTCTATGGCTCCTCTTCCAATTATTCGTTCGTGCAGAATTTATCACTTTGAACTGATGATAGATACCGCAATTCGTATGAATACGTTAAACAAACCAAATACAATAACCCATTTAGACTTGAATCAATTACATTTACGAAATTCTTTTTGTGATACCGATCGTTGCATGTTTATTTGCAATCATTCGATAGAATTTGCAATTGTCTTTGGTGTAGTGAGATGTGATCATTCGATTAATTATTAATCAGCACACAGTTCTTCAGCAATTAAATACAGCCACTGATTATGTTTCGATGATGACTCATTTTTGCGAAAATCAGACGTTGCTTTCCAAACAACATGAACTCTCTCATTTGATCATTTTGTTGACTGAAACTTTCGAGAACTATTGGTATCCCTCAAAAATATGCCGATTCGCGCATCTGCGAAGATTACGCGCTAAGGATTTAAACGTAGGTCTATTGTTGATTAATCTTTTCAAGCAAATTTCTGCAGTCTTATGATTTGCATTGAAAATGATATTCTGCTCAGGTGAATGTTGTGTGTATACCCCCGATATACTGGCACCAATGAAATGAATAAACTAAACCTCAATTACAGCGGTATATGAATATGCCATTATCTCAAATGTACGACATCCTCTGTTCAAATGATACTCTCGTGCATACAACTCAAATCTATCATGCATTCACCATGCGAATGTCAACAATACACTCTGAAAATACTTCTCTTACTTGCATTTTATCATATGATTATCTATAAACATGCTCACCAGGTAAACGAATACCCGTCCACTTGTAAAATGATGATTAAATAAACAAACAAAGTATGAAATCATGTCGTACACACACACTCACTAGTAGATTACTCACCTAAATTATGCAAGTATCATCATTCACTCGATGATATTATTATATACAGCATCTAATTGTAATATATACCAACTCGCCAATGTTTATTTGCATGATAAAATTGCTCTCATCTTTCGAGCATTGCAATGATATTACATAACCATGTTCTCACCCATTGTTGTGTAACATTTTGAGTGGCTCACGATTCATGACTATTAATTACATATGCATTTACAATAGTACTTATACATATAGTTCGAGTGGACTGGTGAATAAAACGGGAACGTGATTCAGCCGAATCGTACGTGAGTAAGCGGTTGCTTACAACTCGCATGGAGTGATACCAAGGCGAGAAGGCTTAAGGCGATATGTTGAGTGCAACATACTTTGGTGTGTTGTGTCAGAATGAATATTAAAAACATAACTGTCGTTCAATCAAGCAGCAAACACACTTCAGTTCGGAAAACCTAGTTGCAGTCTTTTACAAGTGCAACTGTTACAGCAGTTGACAGGGTTAAGCACAATATTGAAATGATAAGTTCAAAGTCGATGTATATACTGAGACGAGGGAACAAGAAATTCATGCTTGCCTCTAGGTTATTACAAACTCAAAATCATGAATTTGCTCGATGACCACAATATGTTATCATAAAATAACGCACATAATCGATCATTTATAAAAGATATAGCTAAGATCCTCCTATGATAACTTGTTTACTTCGGGTTTCGTACATCAAATTTGAAAGGTGGAACCTATATTTTTCATAAGTTGAATGGTTTCAGGACGAAATCGAATAGGTAATCAAAACCAACCGTAAACAGTGATTAGCGCTGGATCGGTGATACGCTTGTTGGCTATATTCCGTGCCTCACACGTGTAATTTCCAGAATCAGTCAAACGAGCAGCCGATATGATCAAAGATCCATCATTGGCGATTATTATATTCGAATCTGTCCGCTTCTCGATTTCGTGACCGTCTTTCAGCCAAAACAACTGAATTTTCACCATATTATTTTGCTTTACTCTCCACTAACGTTATATTGCAATGTTTTTACCAGGAATAAAACTGTGAGAATTTCCAGTTTCAGCAAATGAAAACAACGAAATTGATTACGGATGCCAATGAGTAATTTTTAGATCGGAAATCCCCTATTGAAAAGATTCACTTGACAATGCGTAATACGTACGGTTTATGGATGCAAGAATTTCAATCTAATTTTGTTTGCACATTTCAGTTAAATTTCATTTCATTTTGCAAATGAAAATTCAGTAGGACATATGCAAAAGCTTTGCATTATTCAAATCAGTGCTTCTCAGTTTTATGAATCATCTTAAATGCTCGTGGCTCGTGCATGTGGCAATTAACATGAGATGGGACAACATGCATTGTTCTTCGGGGACTGCGGACGAGCAAATGCTTTCTGGCAGGTCATATTTAAATTGCAATCCATCACACAGATGACAAATCACAATTTTTGTTCCCTTGATGAATAAGATTGCAAATTGGATTTGCATTAAGTCAAGACAATGACACATGACAACATACGCAGTCGATTGCATAATGTCAATGCTGATAACATGAATGCTGAATGATTCACGCAAAAAACTGCGTTCATGAAGGAGAAGAACAATGTTAATTTCTTAATTCGACGATATTTCCTAATCTGCTGCAACAAAACCAACTGCTTTCAAATAGTTCTTTAATATGTGAACGCAATCTATCAATTCATCGAGAGCACCATTGATCTGATAAGAATTGAAAAGTTAATTTATAAAACGTTCGTTGTTTGATTGCAACGATGTAACTTCGAAGAGACAATATTTCATTACGACAGAGAAAAATCCATTCAAAATAGCATAGATGAGATATTTGCAAGTGAATAATTTGAATCTTCTCACCTCAACTTTTGGATCGGCATCTGGCGGTGAACAGTGCATCTGAAGTGTTCGACCTTCTGGGACATTCTCCGAAACGGGTGCTTGATAGAAATGCTTGCGAATATCTGTGAATATTTTGAAGATGAAACATTAGGACAGGTAACTAATGATTGTAATGCATGCCCAATTGATGAATCTATAAAACAGTGGTTCTCATCGGGAGTAAATTAGTAAATTACCCTATGGGTATAAATTGTGGGTGTCAAAGAGCAATTGAGGAGATCGACAAACTAATATTCCGTGCAATTGTTATATTGTGATGGAATGCCACAGTGATGGTGTTCTTTCAGTTAGGTTTGTAAACGTGATTCGCTCACGGCAACACTCTTCTTTATCCTATTTTTTGAGTATATTTAGTTCATCTAGGCATGAACAAAAGTTGCTTTAAAGTAGTCACAAGTATTTTCTAAGTTTTTTAATATATTGGCTGATATCATCGATATCAGGGATTCACTAGATCACGGATTTACTGCAACTGACGAATTCCATTCCATCAAGCAGCTTTTATTTTTTTGCTGGTTAAACGCTTCTAATCTGCCTGGATTCACTAATATATTATTGGGTGTTTTTCATGAATGACCAGCTCCACAACTGTTACGTTGTCAATAAGCATCTTAATGTTAACACAAATGTTAACAATCATCTTTAATGTTAAAAAACACTCAAACAAATGTTTCGATCCCAGTAAAATGTGACTGTAACATGAGACGTCATAAGTGAATGACGGATGGCGTGCTCTATCAATCACAACACAGATACGATTGATCTTAAGTAGTATTTAGTTGTTTCATAACATTATAAATGATTTTATGAGTATTGGAGCATTCGTGTAATGAATGAATCTCATATTGTTTGCTAGTTATGGTATTAACATCGCTCACATAAACAGAAGGAAAACGATTGACGGATGGATGATGTATATTTATTTATCTTTCGGCTGAGTAATTCAATGCCAGAGTATTGGGCTATAACTGAGAGTTGAGATGAGATGTCAATTACGCACAAAAGCTGATTGCTCAGAAAGATAAAACGTCATTCGTTTCCCCTCCATCACAGTTTTATTTCACCATCCTACTGCACCGGTTAAACCATAAATAAAGCATATTCGCCTGAATAAACTTTGCCACTAGTATCTTATGTTCTATTGGGTGTACAGAAGATTCCGTATGTCACACTTTGCTACTGTTTTGTTGCAAAAGCAAGTAAATTCTCAAAAGAACGAGTGCCTGTAATAAGTGAATAAAATAACTTCAGAACGAGAGAAAACATCTGAAATTTCCTTTTTGAAATAAGCCAGAGTTAACGCATATACTGCAATAAAAATTTTCCTTCTCACCTACAGAACGTTGCTAAACGCAATTTTATCGCAACAAAACTGAAATCTGCTAATACGATTACTTTTCGAAGGTATTTTCTTCTCAGATCATTCATTACATCTGCACCAAATTCAGCGTCTCCCATAAACACGAGCAACCAACCACAACGATCTTTTACTACTGTGACGACAGCCCAAAAACACCAACGGAACACAGTCATTTCAAAGGATGACAATCATTCATTTATCATCGCTCGCCACCATCTTTCGGTTAGTTTTTTTTCTAATTTTTACCGCAGATGATATTATGGGAATTGAAGGTGTGAGGAATGAACGAGTTCACATTGTCCATATGTCACACCAGCTTAACAAAACAATTCGGCTCTCATACCCACAAAAAATGACTCTTCTGTCTGCCGTCTTCACTTTCTAAGAAAATTTTCATCAATTCATCATTTGCCAGTAAATGCACAGAAATTATTAGCGATTGATCGACTGATCAAAACTGATATGTTAAGGTGGATTTATGAACAACATCTGGTGTGGAATGGGATCAGTAAATGACGAAGATGTACGAAGAATTCAGGTTGCAGTCAAAGTTCACGTTTTATGAGTGCGTATTCACCTCAAGGTTATGAGAAGTATGCTTATGGATGATAAAACTGAGACGTCATCAATCAAATTTTGGTGTTTTATTAGTTTTTAAAATGCTTTTTACAATAACAATGTGCTACTTAACGGTGTGATGCTGAACGATTCGCATAGACTGTAAATCATATGCACAATTCGCTATGCAACAGCTGATCACAGCAACACTTTAAACTTCTTCTCATCGAGGCCATCAACAGCAACTATTCAATATATTGACATTGTTAGAGTGTATTATATTATATGTTTATTATTACATCTTGCTTTTCATATAATAACTATTAGATCGGCAATAAACTGCACATATCAGTGGAGCTAAATTCAATTTTTACGTTTCTCGTTTACATTGATCATATCCCTTTGATTACAGCTGGAAAATATTCAGAGCTTTTCCATTCACCGTGCAAACTTAGGATCATTGAAGAGAAATGAATTCGAAACTAATCAGACAGGAAAAGGATGGAAAAAANAAAAAACGTGGAAAATTTTTATCGTTTTCCCAACGTTCACTTAAACGGATAAATTTGAAATAGAACTCCTGGATCATCACTGATATTTGAATTCGAACTCTCAGAACCGATTCGAAATGTAATCTCCATCCCGCAATATCAAATCAAGAGTTAACTGGCTCGCAACAATCAGTATCTGTTGCACAATGAAGAGATTGTTTCTAACCGGTATTAATCACTTTATGTCATTCGAAACGTTTGATCCGATCCGTATCCTTTGCAGATATCGTCATACACAATGCTTTATGAGCGTAATCTTAGAGATGCATTTAAACAATGACTGATTTGAATAGAATTGCCTCGACTGAGTTGAATAAATGATTGATTAAGCAGTCGGAATTTATATTATATTATGTGACCGACCGCATGAGGAGAGGAAAAGAAACCAAGGCGCACATTCATACTCGAATTCAACATAACTACTTCTGATTAGCTTACTCGACTACTTGAACAATGTAGTATGTCGATCACATTAACTGCTACTATTATCTGCGATAGAATAGATTTAGACTATAATGTAATATCGCATTTTATAATATAATATCATCATCAGCAATCCATGCTAAATGTTAATACACTCTGATCTTATGCTACGCTCCATTTCACATCGCTCATAATCTCCAAAATTCCGTTCGTTAATCGCTGGAATTTCAAAGCGAATCGAATCATACGAATGAAACTACCATTGCCACTAATGATGCTATTATTACTATTATCATTCTCATATTACTATTTTCATCATATCCGAGTAATTTTCCGGTGTGAAATTTATATTCGTAAAACAAACAGATTCTCTTCCACAAAAACGAGCTTTTTCGAAATGAACTTGAATGACCGATTCAACACACATCAGAATGCAAATGTCGTCCCTGATTTTCATTCCAATACTAAATTTTTAACGCACAGAAAATAATGCTCCATTTTATCGTGAGTCATATTCGGAGTACTTACAATTAGTGGTTTGAAGCAGTTGTCCGTAGGATCTACTGAGTGATCAAAGAATATGATGAAAAATGACGATACAATCATCATTTTTGAATGTTACTCTTTCGGTATGTATATGGATATGTGCATTGAATATGCAATGCATTTTTATGCACCCCGAATGCTATACATCATATTACATGAATTCTGTAAAACAATGCTCACAGATGAAAATGACAACTTCCTAAATGATTTGCTGCTCTGTTTGAGGTATACTTTCGGTAAACGAACACAATATAAGGGAGCCTTTGTTCATTTAGATAAATATTACGTAAAATGCAACAAAACAATGAATATGTTGTTCCTTTGATGTATATAACCTTTGCGAGATCCTAAAACGATCGCATCGCTTTTGTTCGTTTCTTATTCTTTGAAGGATGCAAAGAATTGATCTCTCTGTTCAATAACAAGTCACTGGACAGTGCAACATGCGAGAGTAACCTTTGAAAATAAGTTTCGGTCGAGGTAATATTATACAAACGAGCTTATTGTTAGCGAGAAAATTGAGAAGATCGTAAGATGAACAAATAAATCTGCAACAACACCTTAAACGAGACTTAGTCACTGCAAATGTCAAAAGGTACAATCCATTTCTTCAATTATTCTTTATTCAGCATTGAAATGTTCTCTTTGTGCTTCGCACTGCTTTGATACGATAATAAAAGTCTATCTACCGCCAATACTTAGTGGTCATAAGGCAACAGCATACTAAATGACCAGAATGACAGTACCTTTTTATGACTATTGCACGCTCATATCTGTGCACAAAACAGCGCACCTTTCACCATGCACAACATCCAGTCTGGCCGATATGACCGAGAAAACACCGAAACGACGCAATAATTTGTCAGTCAAATTTTATGGCAATTGTTTCCGCCGATTTTGCTCATTACTCTCACCATATAAATTGATTTTAGGTAAGTAAATGGTGGCATTCCCCCAGGATGCAGACATCAAACATTGAATCATATGTTTACGATTACTTTGTATCAGGTTCTTGATCCAGTCAGAAAACTGTACCCATCAATAATACTCATATCCAGTGTTGGGCGCGCTACCGGAAAACGATAGCGCGCTATCGCTATTCCGCTGTTCGCTAATAGCGGAATAGCGAGCTATTGCCCAACACTGCTCATATCAATTAATTGTACAACATTAGCTCATTTCAAGACTTACAATGATATGATTAACTCTAAACATCCATTGACGATGCGATCGTCTGAATTTTGTACTATTATACATATATTCAGTGGAAGTAAATTATAATTGTGAAACTGCTGACGTCTACAAACACAGCAAACAAATTTCATTTCGTTTTTCTTATATAGCAGGGCTTTTTGACACTCAATATGTGAAATGTTGCGATGCTCTATAATTATATTAAAATAATATGCCAATTCAATGATGCTATTTGATGAGTTGATGTGAGCAGATGTATGAGTGATATGATTATCTATCAATGAATATCTAGTGACGATGCGATGCGATCAGCAATATGTCTATCATTAAACAACTCATAACGCTAATATTTACTGTTAATGGTGAAATGATTGACACCTAACTGATATTTTATTCAATTAACATAACACTCAATTGATATCTTCTAACACAGCTGTTGCACAATCTCAAACATTATGAGCATCTTCATCATTCTGTAATCACATTCGAAAATTCGTTCATTTCAAATTTTTATTGTTGCCACAGTAACTTCTCAATCGTAACTCACATAAATGGGAGGCATCAGATGAGAACTTAAAAACTGGAAACACAATACTACCATTTCTGAGTGATCACCTATCACAATCACTCATTTCAGCATGGCTTCGGTTAACTCTATTCTCAAGCCAGCATCCATTTGAACAAAACATTCATTAGCGCAACCGATCCCCCGTCGCGTCACAGTCCCTACTGTACTAATTTGGAAACGCAATTTGTCTGATGGCATTGCTGTTATTTTGATCTTAAACTATGATAGCGTATGAGCAACAGCCACAATGGAATGAATAAATAAATAATAAATGATTGTGAATCATCTCATCCATAAAGCTGAAATATTCGAGTGTTTCTTATCTAAAATCCAAATCAAAATCTGCATTCGCATAGACAGACGACACTCATTTATTTCAATGTGATCTGTTATTGGTTACACGCATAAGTCATTGTTATAGCCGAAGAGTTACGATCGTATACTTTATGTCATTCTTTTAAATTCACTTCTCTTGTAATCACTCACTCCCAATGGACAACTAATTGAGCAAAATTGTCAATGGTCATTTTGAAGTGGTCACCGCAATGCACACTAACGCATCAACTCTTCTTTCTTCAATAGATTTATTTTCGAATGTCGTCAATGGCTCCTATTGGCGTAATCAGTGCGACAAATGAGGCGAATGCGATGATTCAGCAGCTCTTTTCGAAGAGAAACGGTAAATTTGCATATGTGAGTGGTTCAACTTTTAGCTGTTCAAGTTAAAGCTGGCCAACATTTGTTCTGTTAGTCATTCAGCGAATCACTCGAATGTTCGTTCATCTCAATTAGCTTCGTACTATCTCCAAAGAGAGTATGACTTTTCATCAACAACATTCTCAATCCACGAAAAAGAAACATCAGCTTTGTATCGTCGTAAAAAAATCACACACACAGATGCACATTCTCCTTGGAATTGAATGCTCTTGATCGTATAGTCGACAATAAAGCTGTCGCTAAGACTTCGTGATGTGGTGGAATCAGAAATTGTTCGAAACACTCTCGAATGATGGCTTAATCCAGTTGATCAGTAAATAGCTAATCTCATGGATCAACGGATCGGTGAATAACATCTAGAACTCATCTTGCAAACGCGTTTGTTTTCATGCAATGAGATGTGGATTATGGTTGTCTCTTCAGTTATTCGATAGTTGTGAGATAAAAGGATTCACATCGGCTGTTCGTAAGGAGGCAATTTTTTACCCCATACTGTGATGTAAACCGCGCAATTTAGACCAGCTATAGTCTGCTGCTAAGCGAACATTTCAGAAACAAATACACCTCTTTGACAGCATTCAAAAGCAACCCAATTGCTGTTTTGTTTCGAAATACGTGACTTGCGTTAGAGAGTGAATAGTGTCCAACATCAGCCACATTCATTTAAAGTGCACTCGCGTTTGTTGAAATTCAGTTGTTGAGACAGGTTGGGAGAAGATGTTAAGTTCAGGACAGCTTGATAAAAGCTCGAGAAATTGAGGGAAAAGGTGTTGTAAAGTCACTGTCAGATAAATGATATGATGATGCGAAGGACACGAATAAAAGAGTGGCGAACGGAATAAACAAATAAATTAATGGCATAGACAATTGCTGCGATGAAGCCTTAATGAAGCGGAAAATACGACTAGCATAATCGCTTGCCATTGGTATCCTCATAACAATATCCAGTGTTTACACATTATTATTGTTCAAAGTATGATATGCCAATAAACGCATATGTGAATGTGTTGAATAATGTGTGTTTTGAATGAGATGTCGAATGCAAATATGGTACAGATTGGTATTGATGGCGATTTAGATTATCAGCGATCTCATAAAGTCGCATGATTTGTTCACGAGATTGGGAATAATGTTGCCCGTACAATAATAAATCCATTGATAAATCGTCTTCAACACTTGTATTAAGCACAAAAAACTTACAAGCAATGCGTATTCGCGCTGAATCCGAGCGCACAGCTTGAGAATCCGAATCGCCAGAAGCATAGCACTGGCATGTGTAATCGCCCAATTGTATGTTCGCATCAACCTCTTGACGACTGATTTCAACGGTTCCTCTAAGGTAGGGCAGTTGAGTGGATGGATCTTTACCTTGTGATTTCAGTACTCGAGAATCTTCCAACTGAAATCCACCGCATTCGTGAGATACTTGATTTATTATGATTATATCAATAATTTAATTTTCAATTGTACTCAATCCCTTTCAATCTAAACAGTAGATCATTACAACATGCCATAATCGGATCTGGTTACCAAATTTTTGAAAAGGTTGTCTAAAAAGTCGGTAGGGGGTTATAAATTGTCAGTGTAATTGACAGAAATGGAGCTTGCTTGCATGCAGTGACGATAATTGATGAGGAACATGTTCATGAAAACATTGCATCATCAATCAAAACTATTCGAATAAAAACATTCAACTGCACACAATCGCACAATTTTGCAACGTAACGTGATGATTTTCCGCTGCTATTACTCCTATTCATGAAAAAATCGCTTCTCTTGAATCATTTTACGAAATCGAACCTAACCTCGTTCACACACTATAAATCGTTCTATAAATAACCCCGCAACTACTCACTGAAATCAAACCCTCAAACCAATTCTCGTTAATTTTCACCACAATCCGTATTCACATATTTACAAATCACACATCGAATTGTTGTTATTCGCCATTAAAGTTTGTAACATATTTATTTATTCGTAACGCATAACCAAATTGTCGGTGCTCACTTTGAAGTGCTCTCCAACCACCCCTAATTTGCATATTAACACACAAAATTTTACAAGATGCCACTTTGATTATACAACATTATGACGACGGCCGAGCACTCTCAAAATCGAATAATTACATACACATGTTGATGGTCGGTCATTGGTACGTTTAGGCTTAGTGGATCACTTTCGATGGCACATTTATGGTAACGGTATAAACCCTTTATATGGCCATTTGAAAGTTCATGTACGATTTGAATTTTGCTTAGTTCAATTTTGTCTTGCGTTAAGTGTACTTATATTAGGAAACGAATAAATAACATTTAAGAACTCAAAACTCTGTTCCTTTAATCAGATGAATATTCTTTCGCCAATTCCGATAAAGAATCTTTTTCACAATGGAATATTCGAGGGAGGCCCGATATATCTTGAGACTTTTAAAAGAATAACACTGCAAGTTTGAAGCAATGTTTCTCGGAACTTCTACTAAGTTTCAAACAAACGAATTTGATAGATTGTTTTTATCGATCATTTGCCTTGGAGAAAAACTAGAAGAGTAAATTTCATCATGAAACAGTAACTGAATTTGTCTAATCATGGGTTCATTCGTAAGCATGATAGAGCTTAGATCTTCACTGAGCCCAATCCATCCAACCACAGAATACATCTTCTTTCAATATTTTAAAGGACACATGTTGCGTTCAAATTTGTATTGATGCAGCAGCATCAACATCATCTTTCTTCTTCTTCTTCTTCTCAAAACAACATATGCCCGTTGACGGGTATATGTAAATGATCGTAGTTGATTGCTATCAACATCGTTTCATCTATCGGCATACAATCACATAAACAAAAACGATAAATGCCATATTGATGGTCACAACAAAACAAAATGCTGCTGTTGATCATGCTATATTATGAGACCATTCAAAAAATTACTCTGCTGCAAAATATCAGCGATATATTGGCATTCAATGTCTTCTTTCCATTTCCCGATCCATTAACAAACATTACAGTTGCGCTTTTCGCCTTTTATTTCGTTGTAAAGTAACAACAATAACATAAATGCTCACACACTGAAAAATTATGTTGCATGTCGCTTTCAAGCCCAGCAAGGAGTCAACACTGATTTTTTTTACACGATGCTGTACATGCAATAAAGTTGCACGGTGTGAATATGTGAATCTCTGATTCAATATTCAATATTCAAATTTAAACGGAGCTTCCCATATGATTGAATGTCCCTAACCATGTGTATCAAACATGAAACATGAGCGATAATAACGTAATGATGGCGTGGCGTATTATTATGCTAGTATTATTTGCGTTATGATTATTTGTTTACCTTTAAGTGCCCTTCAACTTCAACATGTCAGATGGTCGTCGAACAAACACGGCAAGATTGAACATTATCAGGACGGAACGGAACTCAACAAACGATTAACCAAAATGACCCCATAAGTTTTCATCTAAACTGCTCAATATTTGATTTAGAATCAGTAAGTGCTGAAACGAACCCATCGTCCATTGCATTTGAATCGGATCTGCCGGGCGTTCAATGCCCGACAGTGCAGTTCGGCTGGTTTTGAGCGTACAATATAGGTTGAAACTGGTGACTCAATGAGCACAATTTCATCCATCACTGAAAGTTGATTGCGTTTTGAACGAATTCGACGGTTTACAAACAAATTGAAGATGCAAAATTGCACCGATTGAGGATAAGGAATAACAACAATTAGAACAGTTGAATTCAAGAAACTTGAAAAAAAGCAGCGGCATTTATCAATATGATTGCGGTGAACATTTGAAAAATTGGAAAAAGAGTTTTCGGTCGCACTTGAGGCTTGCGCATAAGTGACAGCTAGATTAGAGCAGTTCTCATGAATTGTATACATACGAGTTACATATATCAAACTGAATCTGAACTTTTTTGTGTGTTCATCATACATTCGATGCATGATTCGTGGCTTTAAACTGACTGACAAAAAACGGTTCAAATAAACAATTTCATTTCCCTCTTCGCATTGATCTGAGTCCTTCTTCTTCTTCAGAACAAAAAAAAAGAAATTCTTCCGTTCTTCAATCGAAAAGAATTCAGTTTTGGTATTGATTAAACGACAATATTGAAAAGTACAACTCGAACGAACAACCGATGTGAGCTCTTTGACAGCAGCTTAATGTGAAACGAATTTGTTTTATGCATTGATTGACGTATTTTCAAATTATCCACAATATTCTAGCAGTCAATATAAATACACTGTTGTTGTTGTGACATTCGATTGTTAAATTCGGTGAATTTCTTCGTATGCAAGATGCGCATAAGTGAAGTGCAATAACAACGAATCAACATATTTAGTTGTTTTTCAGAAAAATTCAAAACGGACATTTTGAATTTCGTTGCACCATGATTGATTGAAGATTGCAAAAAATTGATGTATTTGTTGTGAAGATAGATAACACATAATGAGTTTGGGAAGAACTATGGAATTAGGCGCGAGGCCTGAATGTCTAAGCAGAATGAAACACTAGAAAGTGAAATGAGAGGGAGAACTTGTTCGAATTACTGATGGTCGTTGATAGAAACGATAGGTAACAGTTTGATGTTTGACGAGATAAGACGTTTCATTCATATCATTGATGGAGTGAAGTTGTGAGTGAAAAGCTGATCAAAATGATAAATGAGTTGCATTCAGGAAACATTATAAGCGTTCAATTCAACCGGTTTTTGTGTCCAAAATTCACATCTCAAAACTTCAGACGTATCAAAACTTTGAGTTAGTGCATTCGAAAAAAAACAATTTTATTGTTATGGCCAATATGTATGAGTATTTATATTCAAGAAAACCAAATAAATGTGCACTAGACTTGAAACGGACACAACCCTATAACCAACCTATAACTTTGCATCAAACTTTAAGGATTTGTTTTTCTTTTTTTTGCTAAATCAATCATTCCGAATGTGTTTCACCATGTCTTCTTTTGCTCTACCGATCATTTATGATACTTCAAAAATAAATGAATTCTCCAAATTAGTCGTTAGGCCAAGTTCTCCAAAAATTCACCCAAACCACGAGCATTTTGAGAGAACACAAAAACTTGCGCCTTTGTTGAAAGAATTCCGACATTTTCGTCGGGAGCATTGATTAACTCGGTCAGATCGTAAATTAGCGCTTCACAAAAGCATATTTGCTTGCGTAATACTATACGCTGATGATGTGCATCGGTTAATGAGCAACAATAACAACAATATGACCCTTTAATTAATGGGCATTTGTGAATGATCTGTACGGCAACAAGAATTGTTATGGTGCGAAATGAGAGAGAAACGCGAATTTGAGTTCAAAGAATTTCAAAAAAAAAACGACTTCGTTCGCATAAATGTAACTCGTTGAAAAGGTCACCGATTCAGTGCGCTTATTTGAGCAACAAAAAACGAACAACACTCAGTAAACGTGAACTTTTGATTAATTCATATTGCACAATGAAGTGACATTGAACGGATACAAATCGCAACAAAACCAATTCATATTGTGCTGATTCTAAGAGTTCCGTTGAGTTGTCAAATCAGTGCAGAAGAAAAAGCCATTTTGCAGAAATTTTCAAAAAATATTCAAAACGAAGAATGGTCGGAGCCATTGAAAGGACTGGAATTATAGGTGAGGTTGCTGAATTTTATGATGACATAAAAACGGTTGTTTTAGAGTCTCCGATTGGATACGTTAATTCGAAGAGCTCATTGAACAAGTTTCGAATGAAGTGATCTGTTACGGAATCACCAAATAAGTGTGTAACGAAATATGTGTGTTTAAAGATGATGAATAGATAATTGAATTATAGTAAAGATTTACATCGCAACGATTAGTGATCAATTGGTGTGGATGAATGTTTTTAGAGCGCATACAATAAGTCGTAACTTGATATGCCTGAAGAAGAATTTTGGTTGTGTTATCGAAGACGTGACGACGACGGCAGATTTTTAGGCTTGATAAAAGTCAGCGAAAATGCTCCGATATTTGTTAAGACAGTCGGCATCGAAATATGATCATTTTATTGTTAATCAGTCCGAATCAATGAATGAAAACATACGACGGTATTGAACCTCAAACTTCAGTTAAGCAAACGATGACCTATCGATGGAATTGGGAATGAAGGTAGAATGAGGTTATGTAATGTGGAGAAAATGACGGCTTTTGATAAAGAAATAATGAAATTGCAATGGACGCTGGTTGGTTTATATAGGAAGTAAATGAAAGACATTGAATGGACTCAGTTTGTTCTTAAGCCGCATCTCAACTCGACTAAATTATTTGACAGTGGTATTATGGCATGATGAATGATACATTTGAAAAGAGGTTTCATTTTGCAGTCAAATCCGATCCATTTTTCGTTTCGCGACCATCTTCGATCAATGACTCACTATCAGTATGGCAAATAGATGCATTTTTGCAAAACCGAAATCTGCTCCATTTCAAACTCTTCATATTTTGAACACTTTTCAAATATAGATAGGAAACATTTCAATCCTCACGAAATAATACGCGCATGAATCGTGACAGTCGAAACTGATCGGAAAGCATGCATCCGAAATGATGATTCAGTTTTTTTTCATATTTGAATCTCCCAAACGTCAGTTACTGCAGAAAGAAGCATTCTTTTGAAACATCTTCAGTTATATTCTGAACGAGAGCAGTGAGGATAAGTGCAGTCAAAATATGACAAAATTTAGATGCGAACAGTTAATACTTGTGAATACTATACAAAATATTTGATGCATCTATTTTTAAATGGACAAAACATTCGATATCAAAGTGTTAAGCAAACAAAATCGGCGAGTAGAATACGAATTAAAATGGTGCCAACGTGGAGAAAACAACGTCATGTTTCCGTCGTCTCATTCTTGAAAACTATCCACTAACTACCAAATAACTGAGAAACAACTCAGAGTGTTTTCATAGTTGTTGCTGAATAACACTTCGATTCCATTCAAATGTTCTCAATTCCCTCAAAGTTTGAGTATGGATAATTATAATCAATCGAACACTGCACTCGTATTGTTAGGTAGTGGAAGCGAGCAGTAAGAGAGCTTGATTTAAGTTTAATTCAGTCTGGAAAAATTTCACTGAAGAAAACACTGCAATTAATTTGTGAATGAACATTTTTCAGTTCTGAATAAACCGAGACTGGTCATTTGTTATTGATGATGGGAATAGTTGTTGAAAAGAAGTTATTAAAGATTCATCAAGAATGAACCAGTTAAGAGCATTTAAGTGCAAAAATTTGTTGAAAAGACGGTGTTGTCGTTTAAGAACTGATTGAACACAAATAACTTAGAATGATTTGATTCGATGCAGTTAAAGTTCTCTTCACGATTGTGACCAGTTGGGAATTGCGATCAAAATTAAATAAAAACTGAAAACTGATTTTCTTGCCGGTCGGTTACATCAAGAGAAGATCTCCTCTTATGAAATGCCGCTTTCAATAAGTTAGAATGATTGGTATTGAGAAGGAAATTTTTCATCGGACGAAAATTATTCAAATGCGAAACGATTGCAGAAAATTCAATAGCTCTGAATAAATTGAATCTTACAATCGGATGAAATTTTCACATCGAAACGCGAAGTTGATGTAAGATGAAAGCTGAATTCATCTTTCGAATCAAAAAAGTGAGAGTGGCCGAATAATAACGGTTGCCACATGCTCGCTGCATCATACACAAATGCGATTTAGGGCTTTAGATAAGCTTACTGTTACACTCACGGAAATTGATGATGTGAAAAAGTGTTTGAATTTGGTTTGTTGATTTCAATAATCGAGGAGCACAAATAAAAACCCACTTAAATTCTCAACTCAACAAGAGTTATTTCGCATTTATTGTAAACATTTTCAAAATCGAAAACTTGAAATACTTCAAAATATTTCAGAATCATAAAATTTTTGCAACTATTGAATATTATTCGTTCTTCAAAAAGAAATCCTCCTGTGGTTGCACACATTTGTATATGCAGAAGTTTGTGAGTGGAAGGAATGCTCAAGAGATTTTCATAGGTTGTCTCAGACCGGGTTGGCGTCAGTTCGTCGGAAAGAAGAACATGGCGATGAGCAAAACAGTTCTGGGATATTGTTTCGATAGAAAGCCGATGATGTTGAACGGATAATAACTCAGAAACGATCAGAAAATATGTTCAATGAGCCAAGGTCAGACCCAGCAATTACCAAATGAGGCTGCAATTAATAAACATGTGTAATAGAATATATCTCATGTAAGACCTACACGATTGCAGTAAACATCGTGACTGATCACCGACCATCCATATTTGTAGTTTTGAGAGATAAGAGCCTCTTAGTGTTTAATTAATCATAACAAAACCACATATTGCCTGCCATTAATATCTTATCGGGAAATCGAATCAGTAGTAGTGGATAGATATGCATGAACAAATAGAAGAAGATACCTGTTGCGCGTTACAGTTATGTAAATTGTAATGCAATGATTGATTCATTTTGTACATCAAATATGCAATGAGACTGATTCGATTTGTGAATAATTTTGATAAGAGATAAAAACGAACGATATTATTATGATGATGTTAGCACATCGAATGTTGTGATTTAGCTTTGCAAACACAAAGAAATAAATTATGA